TATATATGTATATGTATATATATGTGTGTGTGTGTGTGTATATATATATATATATATATATATATATATGTGTGTATGTGTATATATATATATATATATATATATATAGCAATTTGTTTAATATATATATGTATCAGACTCATGGCGGAGAATTAATATTACGTCTTAGTTACCTCCCTGTCTCATTATTCCTCCTTTCTGCTTCACAGCCATACTTGGTCATCATATTATTTAAACTTTTGTTTTGTCGATGCATATCGGCGTGCATGTAAACAACCGGGATCAGGGGGCAGTGCATGTGAGGCGTGCGGGAATGGTTTTCGGTTTTCGGTGGTTTGTTTTCACCAGCGTTGTTTCGGTTGCACATAAAGATTCAAAACTTGTGTGTGCAAAAGACACCAAATGTGAATAGTCCCTAACGTCTTTATTTTTGGATAACCACTCTATACGCGTGCATAAAGTAAATCTTATCTCATAGCTTTTACTGGGGCACTTGTTTTGTCTCCCCGTGCCGCCCCCAGCAAGATGCCGTCCTGGGCGATCGCCCATATTACCCATGCCTAAATCCACCACTGGGCAAGCAACATAACCTAAAACATAGCAGCCTGTGCTTGCTTAGGTAAGAACAGTTTAGAGCAGAGATACTCAAACTAGAGCCCACAGGCCACAGTTGACCCATTAAAATCTTTAATTTGGTCCTCTATCCCCTCTGAGAAAAGAAGCTGAATGTTTGGGGTAATGTCTTTAATACAAATTGTCATTTTAACGTGACCTTTCATTTTTTTTTATTTAAGGCTACAAAAAAGCAGATTTCAATTAAATGTTTTCCACACTGTTTTGAATGAGATGTTTGAATGGCCCTAATAATTTTGAACTTAAAGTGGTTTTAAAAAGTTTAAAACGGATTTTATTCCAGCCAAAATAAAGCAAATAAGACTTTCTCCAGAAGAAAAATATTATATGCTCTGTTAAACATTAATTGGGATATATATATATATATATATATATATATATATATATATATATATATATATAAAAGAACATTTACAGGATGGCGAATCGTTTTGACTATATAAAAGCATGTCTCTACAGTTGCAGCTTTGTGAAAATTAAATGTCAGAATATGGGTGAAATAATGTTCAAAACCAATATAGCAACATTAACTTGAAACGACATACTAATTGCATGGTTATTATATTTAGAAACATCAAAACAGCTGATTGTGAAAACCTATGGATTCCTACATTATATTAAGCATAATTATAGTCTAATTATAATTATATATTATAGTCTTTTAATGTAAGTTAGAATGAAGTTACTGTTGTACTAAGGATTCCTTACGATTATTTTTTGCAAATTATTGCTAAAAACTACAGTCAAAATGTTACCTGGAGGACAATTTAGTTGCTATACATTTCGGTTCCTACAATATTGCTTATAAATAGCAAATTCTGATAGTGTTTACTGCACCACTGTTTAGGATGCGGCAACATATTCATCAATATTCATCAGTATCATAATTTATTCCTCTGATGCAAAGGTGAATTTTCAGCATCATTACTCCAGACTTCATTATCCCAAGATCCTTCTGAAATTATTGTAATGCAAGTTAATATATACAGTATACACTACACTCATTTTGTGCTGAACTATTATTAGTGTTTAGTTATTAATAGTGCTCATTATTTTCAGTGTTGATAAGTTTTTTCTGCTTAATGTTTCTGTGGAATCCTTAAAGTTTTTTTTTCCAGGATTTTAGGATTTAAAAATTTTATTAGGAAGATTTACGATGATAATAATTCGCTTGAATAGTTAAAATTATTAAAACCGATGGTGTGTGTTTCTCAGTGATGGGTGTTTCTCAGTGTTGGGTTGCAGCTGGAAGGGCATCTGCTGCTTAAAACATATGCTGGATAAGGTTAAGTTGGCGGTTTATTCTGCTGTTGTGACACCTGATTAAAAATTAGACTAAGCTGAAAAGAAAATGAATGAATGCATGTTAATCGTGATAACCTTGAAACCGGGATTATTCGTCAGACTATTATTATAAAACCAAAATCTAGAATCGATACATCCCTTGCATGAATCTGCATAATGAACATCAGTAAACATTTTTTTTTTTGGTCCATTTGTAGTGGTCCATTAATTTTTTTTCTTTCTTTCTCAGAATTAGTGAAATTAATTTTAGTAGGCATATTTACGTAGCTTAATTTTTTTTTACTGAAATGGTTCCTCTTATTGGGGAAAACATTGCTATACATCAGGGGTCACCAATCCTGGTCCTGGAGGGCCGGTGTCCCTGCAGGGTTTAGTTCCAACTTGCCTCAACACACCTGCCTGGATGTTTTAAGTATACCAAGTAAGAGCTTGATTAGCTTGTTCAGGTGTGTTTGATTAGGGTTGGAGGTAAAATCTGCAGGGCACCGGCCCTCCAGGAACAAGTTTGGTGACCACTGCTATATGTTTAGGGTGTAAAAAATGTGTTTGTGTATCTATCTTTATTTTAAACTCACAGTTCAGCAGTTTTGGTGCAGCATTGAGAAATGTCTGTTTTATTTAAAAGTGGTTTATTGAACAAATTGTGTATCTGTTTATAAATAAATGTAATTATAATTAATACATATTGGAGATAAAATCTCAGATAATACTGTAAACTCATTCATTTTCTTTTCGGCTTTGTCCCTTCATTAATCTGGGGTCACCGCACCGCCAACTTATCCAGCATATGTTTTACTAAAAAAATTAAAGGCAGCAGTTAACATTGGTTGCCAAATCATTTGAATACAATTTCATTTCTCAAAAATATACAAAACTTGAAGCTTCAGATCAGTTTATGCATATGCAGTGGTTAAAAATACATGTTTAATGAACTAAAAGACACTGTGGCTCTGTCGTTAGCAGTGTCACCTTTGAGCAAGAAGGTCATTGTTTCGAGTCCTGATTGGACCAGTTGGCATTTCTGTGTGGAGTTATCATGTTCTACCCATGTTGGCATGGGTTTCCTCCGGGTGCTCCGCTTTTCCCCACAAGTCCAAAGACATGCCATATAGCTGAATTGAATAAACTAAATTGGCCGTAGTGTATGTGTGAATGTGAGTGTATCGGTGTTTCCCAGTACTGGGTTGCGGCCGGAAGAGCATCCACTGCATGAAATATATGCTGGAATAGTTGGCGGTTCATTCCTTTGTGGTGTCCCCTGTCACTAAGATGAATGAAATAAACTTTATTGGCATTCAATGTGGACTGCAAAGTAAGAATTTGATTGTACAGGGGACCTGCTCCTTTCTGTGCACATGACAAACAAAGTGAATCTACAAAGCGATTATTTACTTCCATGGGAGCACTGAAAAAAAAATCATTATTTAAATTCTTGAATCAGAGTCCCAATGTGTCTAATGCTGTACTAAGTGTGTTTTGTGTGTGTTTGTGTTGTCAGCGTGTGCTCTGGAGGTGCTGACCCTTTCTGAAGACCCCGGGCCTCGGCAGCTCTCAGCGGAGGAGCAGCGGCGACTGGAGGAGCAGGAGGAAAACACTTTGCGAGAGCTCCGACTCTTTCTCAGGGACGTCACAAAGCGGCTCGCCACTGACAAGCGCTTCCAGATCTTCAGCAAGCCTGTGGACATTGAAGAGGTGGGTTAACAGTAGGATGGTCAACCCTTAATTAGGCAACTTTTACATTAGCCAAAGACTTTCTCCAGAAGAAAAAAAGTATTAAAGGAAATACTGTGAAAGGATCGGCTCTGTTAAGCATCATTTGAGAAATATTTCAAATATTTCAACTTCAACTGGATATATTCAGTGGGGGAAACAAGTATTCAACACATTTTTTCTAATGGAGTTATGTCTGGTGATTGGCTGGGCCGTTCTACAGCTTGATTGTCTTTCTCTGAAAGCATTTAGGAATTTACTTGGCTTTGCTTTGGATCATTGTCTTGCTGAAATGTCCACCCTGGTTTCATCTTTATGATGATGAAGAGCAAATGGTTGCTAAATAACTTCTGAGAGATTTCAGCTGCTGTCTGGGCTTTTACTGCCTTTCTTCACCTCCCTTTCTTCATGTGTTCAATACTTTTTCCATTTGCCATTTCATTTTGTTACACATAACTTATAACATACATTGATCTCTTTAGTTGCTATCAACATCTGGTGAACATGTCAAGTCAACAGCACCTTTTGGAATATGTTTTCTGAGAAAAATGGTGACGTGTTGAAGACTTATTTCCCCCCCCCCCCTGTATATCAAGAATGAGCAACTTGGGTCTTGGGTACAGAACACTAATCAAACACACTTGAACGAGCTAATCAGTGTCTTCAACATCACTACAAAGCTACAGGCAGGTGTGTTTGTTTAGGGTTGGAGCTAAACTCTCCTGGACAGTGGCCCTCCAGGACACAAGTTGCCTTTCACTGATATATATGTGCTACGTATATACAGTTGAAGTCAGGATTATTTGCCAACCTTTAATTTTTTAAAAAATTTCTAAATGATGTTTAACAGAGCAAGGAAACTTTTACAGTATGTCTGATAACATTTTTTTATTTTGGAAAAAGATTTATTTGTTTTATCTCGGCTAGAATAAAAGCAGTTTTTAATTTTTTAAACACCATTTTAGGGACAAAATTATTAGCTCCTTTGAGCTATAATTATTCGATAGTCTACAGAACAAACCATCGTTATACAATAACTTGCCTAATTACCCTAACCTGCCTAATTAACCTAGTTAAGCCTTTACACACACACACACACACACACACACACACACACACACACACACACACACACACACACACACACACACGCACGCACGCACGCACGCACGCACGCACGCACACACACACTCACACTCACACTCATCTGCACTAGTCACTTTATGCAGACACACCATACTACCTCCCTATATGACACTGTCACTTTATCACAATTATCATGTTTACAAGGCTTTTTGCACTTTACTGTTCTTTATTTGCACAACTCTGGTTTACTTTGCACTCATTTGCTATATGCCCTTAATGTCATTGTATTGTTTATGAATTGTATTACCTATGTATATTTTTTAGACCACATTTTATGTACAATGTATATACTGTAAATTTTCTTTTTCTTAAAACTCTACTTTTTTAATATTAACCTTAATAAGCACCTTGGGTCTGAGAGTAACGCAATTTCCATTCTCTATATGTCTTGTACAAGTGGCTGAATTGACAATAAAAGCTGACTTTGACTTGACTTTGACTTTAAATGTCACTGTAAGCTGTATAGAAGTATCTTGAAAATATGTAGTAAAATATTATTTACTCTCATCATGGCAAAGATAAAAGAAATCAGTTATTAGAAAGGAGTTATTAAAACTATTATGTTTAGAAATGTGTTGAAAAGAATCCTCTCTCTGTAAACAGGGGCCTAATAATTCTGACTTCAACTGTATGTATGTATATATATATATATGTATATATATATATGTATATATATATATA